GGGCTTCTCAAGTTTCCCGGATGAGGACACAAAAAACACAACTTTGGCGGACGATTACCCTTGGATCTTAATACTCTTTTTGAGGCCATGAGAGAACAATTTCTAAATTAAAACACTCGCTCTCTTGCTTCATCGCCAGGCTCGGAAATCTGTCGCCTTCACAGGTGTCGCCTATAAGGTTAAGTTAAACAAAATCTGCGATGGACGTTAATGTATCAGTCATCATTTTATTTAGTAGAACTGAATGTAAATATATGCCGCACCCAGGGGGTACTTGGGTTAATGTTTGCTGGGTATGTGCTGCTGGCCTCTCAGGGCCCCTAACCCATTATAGTCTATTTTTTGGCCAATTATAGACCCCATCACTTTTTGGAAAATGTAATTTTCGCGATCACAACTTAGTCACTTTCCATTTATACATCTACCTTATCAATGTGGTTTCAAGCGGCGTAATGTAATGCGGTCAATACAAGCTTATTGTTAAATTTAATAAACAACAACTTTCTAATTTTTTCTTCCCATTTTGAATCCTTACTGACCCCCAAAACCCGAAAATTTGCGACCTCATTCTAGTAACTCTATTGAAAATGCGACCCCATTATAGTCACTCCAGTCGTGAAAATCCGACCCAATCAAGGGGCACATCCCCAATAGCCTCTTGTAAGAGAGTACCCCACCCAGGATGCCGCAGGACAAAGGTCAAAAGAAGAAATCGCTCTACGTGCTCCTGAAAACGAAAGTAATGTATTGAATAAGTACTTTCACTTTCCCTATAATCTGCATGAGACGTCATGTGAACGGAGTCTTGGTAGCATTTGAATACTGGAAAAGTATGGAAAAGGCCCCGTGCACACGTATTCCGTTTTTCGTTTGAAAACGGAGATTTTTTTTCTACGGTTTGGCCTACCGTCCACAGGTATGCGGTGAAAACGGTCACCGAAAACGCGTCTTTTCAAAAACTCTCTCCAGAGTGAAGATTTTTGAAAATGCTCAGGGGCGTAGCCAGCCTATAAGCCCGTAGGCCCGGGCCTACGATTTCTTCTGCCTGCCTGACTTACTTTTTACTATTCTTATAAAGTCGAAAATTAAACTTTCCTTAGTGATATACTTGTGAGTTCAGAATTCGAAGGTATTTGACAACTCCAGAAACGTAACTACTGTATTGTCGTCCACAAGAGTTCCAACATTTAGTGTGGGGCAGCACTTCTAACTTTTGCAGTCATCTGCAGAGAGGTATTACAGTGAGAGTCCTTTGAGAAGACTAAAAATTTACTTGAGGTCAACGATGAAAGAAGATCGCCCGGGTGGACTTGCACTTACGCATACCCATGAGGATGATGATTGAATCCAGCCATCGCATTGTCGCCTGATGGAAGCGTGATCTTCGAGGAAGAGCGAGTGCATTTTTATCAAGAAACTAGTTTCTACTAGAATCTACATGCTGAGATGTTATGTGATATTATATCTCAGAGACGATGCGCCAACACAGGTCATAATGCTAAACTTGATTAGCTCATGGCATCTGAACCAAGCTCTTAGCAGGTAAATGAAGTTGAGGATTTTGTCCGAAATCGTTTCCACAAGCCTCTATCTCTAAGCAAACAATTCCTTCCAGAAGAAAGGCCAATGTCGACAAGGCCTGGGCCAAGCAAGAATGTGAAGAACTCACCAACTACCTCAATGAATGAGACCTTGCGAGAAGAAAGGTTCTGGCTCAGCATGGCAAAAAACTCAGTAATCATTTGAAGAACGCTTGTTATTAAATCAAGGCACTGAAGGCAGACCAACTAAACCTTGCAAGCGAGCAACGGAAAGCGGGAAACGAGTTAAGACTGATGAAACAATACACATCTTTGGGACGGTCAAGTGCGCCACTTAAAGCGGCTCCCAAATTAGAAGAGCACTTCCCCTGACTTTTTGGTCCCCATGGATACGTAACACCATCCAGAGAACTATCCACACATATTACTCCCAGAGGAATAGCTTACTATTGACACGTAGGTAACGTACTGGTCGGAAATCAAGCCAGGGTTCAAAGCGACCAAAGAATAGCAAGTGCAAAGAACATAAAAAATATACATGCTGAACATTTAAATATGTGACGTCTGAACGGTTTTTGAAGTATGTTTTGTTCCTGATAGAACTGGACGCTTCTGCAAGTACCAACTCGATGGCTTACTACGAGCAACACTTGCCTCAATACACGTGGACTGCGGTCATTAGGTAAAAACGCCAGAGAGTTAAATAAAATTGCCACCCTATTCAAAGTATATGCATGGAATTATTGTTCATAGCTTTGTGGACCTGAAGGCGGCACACGATTGGATTATACTGTAGTGCACCCTGTGACGCTTTGCTGAAATATCTTAAAATCCGGCAAAAATCCCCCCACAGTATCAGGTCTGCGTTGTTTCCTCACCAGTACAGAATGAGGAGCTTCAAAACCAACTGCTATTCGATGTAAGATCGCCTTAATGGACTGCTTTCGAGAGACTCTCGGAAAATGGGCACCAACAGATTGGCGCATGAAGATGAATATTCCGGGCTTCAATCAACTGCTTGGTAAGGTCATACCCTCGAATTCAGACTAACCTGAGATCAGGCCCAATTTGTCAAGCGAAACGAAAATAGAGCCTGGTCTCAGGTTAAATTCAGACGTACCTTAAGGCTGACAGTTTCTAAGAAAGGAAACTGACGCTGAACTTTTTTTTCCCTATTAGATAGGTCGGTTGTAACATGTATCATTGAAGGAAGGCCCTTTTCATGATTGCTACTGAGGTCGGTAATTCAAGATTTATCGAAGAGCAACGAATACAATTGACGGAAATAGAAAGAACAAAGATCTGTTCGAAGATCGGGCTGTGTAAAAGAAAAATTCTGCTGCAAAGAATTATCCGGTCCCTTAGACGCTACATTTAGGGAACAGGCCAACAACAGAGTGTCAAAAAGCTGGCTACGCCCCTGGTGCTGGCTTCTCGTTTACGTGTGGACGGACGAAAACGGAAGTTTTCGAATACGGTGATGTCATGCGTCATTTACGACTAGCATTACGCATGCTCTGTTGATGAGTATATTTTAATTTGAAAACGGAGGAAAAAATCTCCGTTTTCAAAAATATCCTAATACGTGTGGACGGGGCCTAGTTTGCTTGAAACTGAAATGAAAGAAAGGGGTACATGGAACAAGAACCCCACCAGATTTCCACAACTGATTTTTCCGCCCACCCTGCAGGTTCGTCGTTATGGTAGGACTCAATTTTAAGGTCTGGGCATATACTAGCCTTCCACGCAGACGTTCTTAGGGCTTCGTCACGCGTGACGAATCCCCGAGTAAGGAAGGCTAGGCTTATATCACATCGTAAGGGGTTTGCGTGGGCTTTGATATTAGGGTGCAGGGAGAGAGAGAGAGTGGAGGTACTTATATCCGGTTGAGCTTAAGTGTTTACGAGATCTTAAGAACAGTATTGTACACGCACACACTCTGTATTGCTCATGCCACCTATTAAGATTTCTTAAAAAAACTCTTGGTGCAGAGAAACACAAAGATAAATAAAAAACGTAATGGCGTCGTTACGTTGCTATGGCTACTCCGATTGCAATAAAACCCAGATCATAAGAAATTTTCATCTTTATATAATACAGTCGTGGTAATCTTTTTCCCATATCTTTACTCATGGCGGCGTAGTTGATGCTCAGACTTGGGAGGCATCCCCGCAAAAAAATCCAGTGGACCCACCAGTAACGTTTACGTGTAAACGTGCGTTGTCTAGCACACCACACGGGGCCCTCATCTCTGTTATCACTCGATCACATAACTAGCTGCGGCTGCCCACGTTAACCTTACTACACAAACTTGCTTGTTTTTGGACAACACTTAGGTATTACAAACACTTCTAAGTCGGTGTAGCCTCCTCCGCAGACATTCTTAGGGGTGCGTCACGCGTTCCTTCGCTTTTTTTCTATAAAAGAAATAAAGGAGACTTGCCTTTGATGTAGTCCTATTTTTTTTTTTTTTTTTTGTGTGAATTTTTCGATTTGGTCGGTTTTTTGGCTTTTATTGTGTGACCGCTGCGACTCTCTTCATAATACGAGTGACAGGGGTCACACAATAACAGCCAAAAAAAACCGATTAAATCGATGAATTCACACCAAACAAAAGTAATGCATCAAAGGCAAGGCGCGTTTATTTATTTTATAGAAGAAAAAGTACAAATAAAATGATATTTAGTGTTCGCAGACCTCAGAATTTTATTTCTCACAAAGTTGTAACGCGACACCGACTCTCTTGTGATAACTCGCAAGAAAAAGGGAAATTAAATGTTTGTAGTTGTAATATTATTTACTCGGCTGACTTGATCTTTTCCTCATCTAGTAGTCTAGAACTAGCGGTTGGTATACGCGCACGATTCTACACCAATCTTCGGGTCGTTTTAAATACCTCCGAGGCCAACATATATCAAGGAACTTAAAAAAATACTTAACAAAAGACTAGCCTGCGTGCAGACGTTTCCTGTTTCCTTTGTTACGTGAGGTGAGGCGTCTTGCCTAGTCACTGTACGACGTTTTCTCAGTCCCTTCGGTCAATTCACTTCGGTGACGTATCCGAGGCGAACGGAGCGGGCGGGAAAAGCCTCACTTTCCATGTTCGCTTGGACCACGTGACCCGAAACGCTTCGGCCGCGCGGAATAATGAGGCCTAGGGACTAGGCAAGGAGGCCTCCGCATGTAGGCTGCCAAACGCACTGTCACCTTAACTCCGGAATACACCCCACCCCAACACAACCCCTGTTCCTAACAGCTGTCTCCCAAGTTGCGGCGGGGCAACTAAACGGTCACTAAATTAAACCCCCTAACCGCGATCCCTCGCGCGCCACGCTATAACCTAGTTCTCCGTTCCGTGCCGGCAATATAGTAATTTATGTCAATTCTAATTTGCACAAATTACATTTTTCGCTTCTTCTTCTCCTGATCCCTTAGAAGCATGTTGTATTTTTTGGGAGACTACCGTTCCAGTTGTGCTTCAGTTAATGGCCATGGGCAATTGCAAATGTTTTTAGCCACGTCGTATCTCTTACACTGGAGTAGTGCGTTCACAAAATCTCTCATGCTAGGTTCTCCTTCACCTTTAGTCTTTAAATATTGAATAAGTTTGTGCATTGGACTTGCACTTTGTTGTGATTCGATCCTATCCAATAATCGAACATCGACGTTTAACGCTAGTCCAACGCTGTACCATGTTTTCACTTCACTTGTCTCGGGAAAATCCAGTTCGTCTTGGACGTAGAATAACATCAATTGGTTATCATGATCTCGCAGTTTTTCTATGGCAGAGATAGGGACATCTGAAAGAAAAACAAAAGCCGAGCTTAGTGTGTGTGTATAATGGTGTCTCAACCTCGTTCCCACGGTGGTAAAGAGAACCTGGGAACGAGGTTGAAGTCTTTGTTTTGACTTGTTTCAGTCGAAAAAAGTAAGAGGAAAACCTTGGTGCATGATAACGTGGTCAGCGTATCAGGGCCTACGACATGAAATGACCTTATTGAGTTTTATTTGATTTTCACAATGCGTAGCTGAGTTCAGGCTTTCGTTTAGCTTGGAGATTTAAGAATGTTTGAGAATTGCTCAAATTGGGCGTGATCTCAAGTCACTCTATACGTCGTTTCGCCATGGGCGGGCAGGATCCGTAAGGTCCGTAGACACTTAAACCTGATCAATCAAAAGGATTCTGGTTAAATCACTGGCTCACTTGTACATTTTACCATATCTACTACTGGCATTTTTGGCGGCAAAAAACGGGAACATTATTCACTTGCGTGTCTGAGTAATCCATTGCCCACAGATTAGACTTGCCTACAAGTCGAGCTCAAGTTTTTTCACTAGCGCGAAGCGCGAGCTGTAGATTTTTTATTTTTTCTGCGGCAAAAGGGAGCGAGAGAGCGAGCGCTCGACTTGTTTCCTCTGCAAAAAATCGCATCAAGTGACGTCATTTTGGTGCGACCTATTTGTATCGTCGCGAGCTGTCAAAGTATGTCAAAACAAACAAATAACGGAAAAAAAATTCCGATAAGAGAAAGTACATAAAGGAATGTTCAATACAAAGAACGGGTAATGAACAAAAGTGCCGTGTGATATTTGTGAGTTCAGTCTCCAGACGTTTCGGGCTCGTGGCAAGGTTTGCATACGCCATGAAAGGAAAGAGAACAAAACAAAAACTTTGTGCGCGCGCTCAAAACAAAACAAGTCGGTAATCTTTTTTCGCTACATGGCTGCCAGAAAAATCCGAGCGTGGTAAAGTACTCAAATGGAGGAAGATAAAACGCCCACCGAAGCTTTGTATTTGAATACAGGTCAATACAGGCGATAAAACGAAATCGAAATAACAGCCCGCACAAAATACACAGTTCAATAGTCCAGTTTCGAGTTCTGTATGACCGCTGAATTAAAGAACTGAAGACGCATTTTTTACAGCCTTAGCCTCTATCTGAAGTAATATATTCACAAATTCGAACGAGAAAAAGACCATTACTCTGTCTATTGCGTGTATTCAAATTTCAAACACTTACTTGCCGGAATTTCTGAATATTTTACTTTACGTCGAGGCTAACCCTGTATGAATGTGTCGTTAATGTTTGTACTCAGCGGCAATTTTTAATTCGAAACTAGACTATAGTGAATTTGGATCAAAACAGTTCAAGTCACCTTTCTTGTGGCGTGATCGGGTTTGATTGACGACGCGTCAGTAAAACCGTTCGTGATTGGATAAAACCTACAGGAGGAAAATTCCTCCTGTAAATTTGGCGCGCTGCAGGGGATAAATCCTTCGCGCGGGGCCAATTGCCAACCGGAAATGAGAAGCGAAGGACTTTGAGAAAGTCTATTTTTTTTTGTAATTTAATCACTGTTTATTTCAATTTCTTGCCTTACAATAATAACATTAATTTTTACATACATTACCGACATTACAATTTTTAAAAAAATAATAGACAAATAACTCACACACGCACGCACAGCACACACGACGCACAACGACAGTATCAATACTACTAAACCTTAACCTTTCTGAGAAAGTCTAGCCACAGATTTGTAGTGTCCTCCGCAGCCGCCCAAGTGGTGAGCGGCTGCGGAGGAGACTAAGGCCTGGTTCAGACGCTGCTCCACGAATGTGCTGAAACCTAACTGATGAATTAAGTACGGCAAAAGAGCGGCGTCTGAATCAATTTGGTACGGCAGTTTTAGTTTGGTGCGGCAAAAGCGTTAAGTTCGACAGAGTCTGTCGAACTTTTGTCGAACTTAACTTAGGTTCGACACACGGTACGCGTCTTAATCAGATGTCGCGCCAGTGTCGCTCCAAAGTCGAACTTATTCAGTTAGGTTCGTCACATGAAAAGTACGGCGTCTGAACTAGGCCTAACAGATCCATAGCAAGACTACTTTTTTGAGCTACGAAAGTTGCGAATTCGTGGTGGCGAGATTCTCCGTTTCGGTCAGAGAGTGCTTTCCCTTTCCCCTTAGCAGCCAAAAACTAAACTGTGATAAAATAAAATAACTAAATAACAAATAAGTAGGTTGAGTATGATCGTCCGGGTGAAGCACAGGCCGCCCAAGCTCAGTGTGAGAGTTTAATCATTAATACATGTGGTTTCATATATATTGTGTAATCCTTAAAATGACCGTGAACATAGAAGATTTGTATGGAAATTCAGGTAAATGATTCAAGTAGATAAATACTGGCTATAATTTTCAATAAAATACAGCTTACCGTATTTACTTTGCTTGTTTTTTCTTGCTGTGTGGTTATTTTCCCGATCCATTGCGATTTAAGCGATTTCCTTTAACCCCAAGGTTGCGCGGGAGACCGGGTCGAGACGGCTTTTTAAAGTGCATTGTGGGACTTTTCTGAGGGACGAATTTGCCACCATGTTGAAATAAAAATCCGAGAATGACTGAGACCGGGTTTTATGAGCCCGCGAGACTGAGCATGTCACCCAAACCCTTGTTTTCACGAAAACCGCTGGACACCACAACCTGGTTGGGGTCATTGTTATCTAAGGTCTTCCTGTTCCTGTCCATCTCGAACGGTTCTCCCGCGGAACCCAAAGTGGCGCATAAGACTGTTGTTGAGGACTATAGTTTGACTCTGAAGATGACTACCGCACAGGTAGTCGAAAAGTCAGTCACTGTCAACAACAGTCATATTCAGGACTACGATCACCCGGATGATTATACACAACCTACTTATGAACAAATAAACGTTTCATTATGCATTGTGAGATTGTGAATAGGTTTTTTAAAAGTAAAAGTAACTGATAAAAAGCCTTACTAAAACGATGTGTGTGATATGTCTTAGAGGTGCTTTTGAAAGTTTCAACAGACTTGGCCATTCTTATTCATGCAGAGGTAATTAAAACCGTTCCAAAATAATGAATGAGGGTGAGCACAAGCTGCAGGATATCAATAGCGAGTACATTAAAACCGTAAATTCAGTTACCTTCTGGTATGTGTTGAACATCTAGCTTGACATTTTTATGAGCACATACTTTGGTAGGATTATCCTGCAGATTTTCTGCGAAGGAAGAAATGTTGGAGTTAAAGGGTGTGAAAACGCAAGTGCGTAGAAGATCATAAAACAATGAATGAATGCAAACATGAAATGGTGAAAAGAAAGTTTTTCTTTTTTAGTCATCCTAAAAGTCGCCGATTGAGGGTGATAGTTCGGCTCATCCTCAATAGTTCACCATGCTGACGACATATATCACACGAAACACTCCTACGAAAGCAGACCATTGAAACCGATGTAGACGTAGAACAGTTGAATGCATGTCTCGGTTTTGATGGAATCTGACAAAATAATCTTAGTCATGTGACTCCAAAAATAGACTACAGTGGTATTCATTCCATTAAACGAAACGACATTGATATGAAAGACTTTTAATGAATCCCGGGGACGAGGGAAAATCTCAGTATATCAAGTTCATCACCTATTGATACACTCGACCCTAGGGCTAAAAAATGCTGGTTACCCGAGTTCAGTAACTGAAATTCTGCATAACCGGGAAAGTTCGGAAACACCCTTGTTCCATAGGACACTCGCACGACGACTTCATTTTGCTAAAAATGGTCACAAAATATCAGAATCCTTCCCCTTGTTGTTTTCTAGCTTGTGCAAATTGGGACAATATATATATTTTTTTAAAATTTAAACACTACTCTCAACTTGCTATGATCAAAATAAGAAAGCAAAAACAATATGAACTCTGGTAGAAAGTGCCATCAATCAGGGGCACCCAACGAGGATATAGTTCAAAACCACTTAACATAGCATTGTTGAACGTATTTTAGTATTCAAACGGTGGATATAGGCATATTTTTATCCCCTAAAAACCTTTTCATCTGTTCGCATTTCCTAGCTGAAAGTCTAGCGATCCGAAAATTATAGGGATAAAAACTTACCTTCTTGAAAATTTCAGCCAGGAAAAGGTTCCCGAAAATTCTAGGTGGCCTTTTTTAGGGTAAAAATCCGTTAAAAATAGGTAATTATACCATTTTGTAGATGTTCGAAAATCCTAGGAGAGGCAGGCAAGTAAGAAATTTTACAACAAATACTCCGAAAATTCTAGATCTCAAATCGTCTTCCGAACAGATATTTTCCCGAAAATTGCCGTTGGGTGCCCCTGATCAATCAAGAGATCTGAGTCCGAGAACCCTTCTTCCCACCAGCACTTCTATCACGTGTTTTATCACGTGCTATTCTGCGTTACCAACATGGCGGATGGCAGCCAGCACGAGATTAGAAAATTTATACTTGTAAGTACTGTTATTGTTTTTTTTTTAACCAGACAGGACCTTAAAAAGAAAGACATTCATACACTGTCTGCAAACTGCCTATAGAATGGGAGCACAAGCGTTTTCGCAACTTGGGTCTCTTCAAATTTTCTGAAATTCATAGCTTGAAGGTTTTCTCTTCCAAAATGACTCAAATAGTTAGTTCCGGGTTTTCCGGCTTTCCGCTTTTGTTTCTGGCCAAAGTTGGATTTGTGATCTGCGCCTCTTTTTCATACGTTCATATGATTTTGAAGCTAGGGCTAACTCTCAGCCTTTACCAGCCTATTCAGCTGCGTTATTTAAATACTCGTACCCTACCGGTAGTGGAAACATGGAATTCTTCAGGAGTAAGGTATAAAAGTGAAGGATTTCTTTAGGGGTAGAGTAAAAAAAAACAAAATCTGTATATATCTATATAAATGGAACACTTTGAGAATGGAGCTTTAATTTTCATGCAATTCTTCGGGGGTACACCCATATATATTCTTCAAGGGTTGGACCCATATTCCCCAGGGTTAAAGCTACATTTTATGAAAGTCTTCAGGGGTGAATGTAATTTTATTTAATACTCAGGGGTAAGAAGAAAAATTAGGTCCTCAATTGGGGAGGGGGGTAAGGATATTAAATGCAGTAATCCATTTTGAGGGGGACATTAGGGTTTACGGTATTGTGGTATTGCTGCTTTTTTTAGAACAGTATTTCATCATTTCAATTTTAATGCGCAGTATTGCAGTAGACTGCCCTTTTCCCCTCTACGAAGCCTAGTTTCCTGTGTAGTGGTGTAGCCACGCAGACATTATCCCTGAAACCTAAGTCAAAGATATAAGACTATACCAGTAGTGAAAACATGTATAATTTGATTGTTATGCAGGCTTAGGTTTAGGTGAGGGAATCATAAAAATGATCTTTAGCTGTGTACAAATGACTCATTTAGGATGAAATGGTGTTAATCAGAAGAAGGGAAATACCCCCCAAAATTGACCATTCGTGGTTCATGGTTCATGTATTGTTTAACATGAATTTACATGTAACTTCTCATCTCACCAGATGAAGAGGCATTGGAGTTTGCATTACTCTGATCCTCAAGCAGTGGTGTCCTTGTTTTGTCACAACCTGTTTGATTACCAGAGAAATATTTCATACAACTAGAAAGTGGGAATTATGAGATTGGGAAAGACTAGACAGGCCATATTGGGATTCATTAGAATCAAGAAACATAACTTCCATCAGCATGTTTTTGAAACTAATCTCGACCTACTCTGAGATCCCACTCTGATCTGTGATGCAGATTGTAATAAAAATTTACTATTTGTTGGTCCAGTCACAATTAGTGACTCAATTCAATCCACAAAATATTAAAAAGCTATTTTCTTTTTTCGTTTTCATACCGAGACTGGGTTGCAGTATTAATATTTTGTTTTTGCCATTTTTTAAAAAAAAAAAATGATTATTGAATGATTTTAGAAATAAACAATAATAGCTATATATCTATCATGTTTTAGGTTTTTTTTTTAAATATCTGCATCACATACCGGTAATTTAGGCTTCATATTTTGTTATTAATTAATTAATAACTATAATTATATTGTTTATTTGTTTTTTACTTGGCTTATTAGCATATTTAATTATTGCTAGAGGTCTAACTGTATAACCTCAACAAACCCCAGATTAAATAAAGCTTCATTCAACATACTGCAAACCAACTAGGTTGACTTAGTTAATTTCGTTCTGCCAGACAAGTGTATTGTTACAGCAATAATGCTCTCCTGTTTCATTAGGTGAAACTGAACGCTACTTCATCCTTTTTGTGGTCCATTTTTTAGTAGTGTTTTATGTAATAATTTAAAAATTCTTTCTGGCCCCTGATTATTCAGTGGTTTGCCATTTGAGTGTACTGTAACCTAGCTCAACAAAATATTCGTTACATGTAACAGTCCCACAAACAGGTCATATTTTTGACCCGGCATAATAGTAAATTGATACAACCGGTATATTTTATCGGTACCTTGACTGTGATATTTCTTTGGTGGTCTGTCTGTGGAAGGAAGTTCTATTATTTGTGGTTTTTTATCTGTAAGAAATTGATTTAAAACATCAACAAACTGAATTTGGGTTTTAACCATACTTATTATATAAGACTGTTTATTTTTGTTTCACACCATTCTGAAAACTGATGTCAGTGATATATTGGAGTGACTTTATTGATTTATCAATAGTTTTCTTTGATGCAATTAGGGAAGTTTCCATGTTATTTTTTAATGAACAAATCACTAAAACAAACTGGGCTCTCAGCTGGTTTGATGACGGAATAATTTAACACTATTTTTAAACCCATAAGTATTACCTGATTCATCACGGTCCTCAAAGTTGTGGATGTTTGATTTGCTTCTGTATTGCTTTATCTTAAATGCAGCAAAGATGATGATGACGATAGTGAAAACTACTCCACATATACATCCTAAACTAATTGTAATGACTTTCCACAGTCCAGAATCTTGACTTCTTGATGATGAGCTGTTGCTTTCACTTGAGCCATCCACATTGTCTTCCAGTGGTGTAGACCTCACCCTAATGCTGGAATCTGCTGGGGTTGAATTGCTAGCGGTAATTTCAGACGTGCTGACTGTGGGTGACATAGTACCTGGAGACTTTGTATCTGAAGTTACCATGATACCTGAAGGCTCACTGGTTGAATTCCTTGAAGCAAGGATTGCGTTAGCTGTTTTATTTTCAGGTACAACTTTACATTCATCAACAACAGGATCCATGTAATACCCTGACCTACATGTAGCTGCACACCTACTGTTTTGCCAAGGGGTGCATTTCTGTAACTCAGTTTTAAATCCACACTGATTGCAAGGTTTACAGTGGGAAGTGTCATTTTTCTCACTATATGTCTCACTGTACACACAAGGCTTGCATCCTGTAGATGTTCCATATGGAACTCTGGATCCACATTGCTTTTCGAGCCCTTGTCCAGGTGGACATGTTTGACATCTTTTGCAAGTTTCTTGGGCATCTGGATTGTTTGGGTCATAGAGTGTGAACTCCTTTGTTGAACAACTTTCTGTTGTCTTTAATAGAGTTACCAAAATTATTGTCACCATACATGCTTGCAGAGGTCCCATCTGTAAAAAAAAAAAGAACATGATCGATGTAACTTTCTTTAGTTCCTGGAGATAATGAAAATGGAAAAGCCAAAATACTTTCCTCAAACATCCTTCCAAGTTATTCTGTAGAAGGCTCTTACATTGTACATAATAAATACAATGTGAATTTCATTCATTCTCTCTTATAACTAAATTAGTTTTTGCCCATCCTGCGAGCAAGGTCTCTCAGATGATGGGGGCCCAAGTAAGCTTGCACAGAGGAATATTTTTTCGATGTATATTATACGACTCAGTAAGGTCTTGTTTCTTATTAATTATAGAATAACAGCATTTACCGTGAGGTAAAATTAGATTCCACACGTCTTGAGTATAATATAACGAAAGTACTCATGTACATGGGTAATATTACAGCCAAACACATGAGTCACACAGGCAAGCAACACAAACAAAGAACACAAAAGTTTTGAAAATGCAGTGTAAGACATCTAGAGAAAGCAAAGAAGCCAAAATTCGCAAGGTCTTCCAGGATTAACTTAACTTATTAAAATTACGTAAATGAGCCTTTTAATAGTTCAGTTCAGTTCAGTTTTATTTAGCCAAAATAAATTACTATACAAGACTACATATAAGAATTGTAAGTTGGCAAGGGAGTCCAGAAGAAACCAGAAGGCTTATGAAGCCTGGGCTCCCCAGTCACAAAGAAATAAGTAAAGTGAAAATTCGTGGACAGTAGTAACGAAAAACTAAACAAAGACTAATTTAAATTAAGAATTCAATAACAGGAAAGAAGAACCTGAAAGTTTTTAACTCTGGATTGGAACGAATATAAGGAGGGGGCATCACAAATGAAAGCATTCAGCTTATTAAAGAAAACAGGACCTTGATACAAAACGGAAAACTTTCTTATGTTGGTACGGCAGAAAGGAATATAATAGGGTAGACCAAAGATTGACACGGAGTCTCTGTGTCGATCTTTGGGTTCGCTTAGTGCAACCAGTTTAGGAATTGTAAGATCTTGTGTAAGATTCAATGTACGGATTTATTAAATTCGTTTTTTTGCAGGTGTACTTGTACTAGCGCCAAACAAAACTTTGCGAAAAAAACGCCGTCTTTCGATGGTTCCTTACCTTCTCCATTGAAGCTATAAATTGGCACATGATGTCGGTTGATGTCATTGATTACCCAAGCAGGACAATTCTTGTGAACGCAAAGAAACTCAGGATTGTTTTTTGATATGAATAATTACAGCTCAACTTCTTGTCGTTCTTGCGATACGATACGTTTGTACTTTTTGGTCAAAAGAACATACCGTATGGTTGTTACGTAGTATATAGAGATCCGTGAAATTTGTTTGCTCAGCAAAAAAAATGATCGGCAGCTGTATTATCTTCGTTTCCGTTTCCGTCCGTTTCCGTTGTTGGGAAATTGCACAAGATCCGTTGCTGCGAGTGCTTATCGAGTGTCTTGGTGTATTAAAAGCTATTAAATTAAATGAAGATAGCTCATACTTACGTCTTAATGTATGCCGTAATTTCTCCCACTATAAGTTTGCGACACAGCTAACTTCTCGAAACACTAATTTACAGCGGTGTATAAGATGACGTCATACCATAACATAACCACGTGATCGTTTTATTCCCTTTTCTTTGAATTGAGCATGTACTTTTATGATAAACTGTCCCCGTCACTAAAGTTTTTAATTAGTACTGATCTCTGGAAAACTCTTTCTGTTCATCTTTTACTTCATTTTGTTTCGCTCATTCCTGGGACTTCGATGATTATTCTGTGGTTATTATCACGTAAATCATTTCCGTCGTAGTGCTGCTTATGGCGAGAATGCGTCGGAAATGACTTCACTGTTTCTTTTTTATTTGTTTGTAAGCAGAACACTTTCTAGAATAATTTTCAATACTAACTTTTATCCGTTTTCAAAATGTGATCGTAACAACAAAAGTCGCTGAAGTAGTGATTCACAACACGTACACAGTGGTGAAGCAAGTCGAAAAGTCTGGCCTTCCGTTAATAGCCTCGTACGCGGACGTATTTATTTCGTCCCCGTGAAACATTATTGAACTGACAAAGACTAATTAGGAATTGAATTCAATGATCTGTAACACAGCTGAACAAGTCGTTCACGAGATTCCTATGGCAAAATATGGTTTTTTAATTTTTTGTGGCGGAATATTATGGGTTTCCTATGACCGAAATATTTTTTTTTTCGAAAGGGTATTCTTTTTCCTTTCCAATGAGGTATAGCTTGATATTGAACTGTAAATAACACCAGAGATATGATTTTTTAAAGTTACATGGCAAAATACATTAAAATAATTAGCTGACGACAGTAAGGACTTTGTCGGGTGCAGTTTATTAACATTGCCCGGGGGGGGTACTCCCTGACATAAGCTATATAGGTATGTGCCGCCCCACCGGGTAGGGTTTTTGCACCGTTTTGGACTCAAAACGGGTATACGCTTTACCCAGTTTGGTCTGGAATCGGGTATGGTTTTTGAGGGAACTTTGAGAGTGTATGAACGTATTCATCGTTTCAATTCCAAATGAGTAAGAAAGAAAGAGAAATATGCGAATTCGAAATAGATTTAATGAGTCTGTTTGTTTGCGCTCTAATCTGAGTAATGATGACATAATTTCTGCCTAAAGGCCAGGTCTGAAAACGGGTGTGGATTTTAGAGGTCTGGTCTAAAACGGGTGTGAAAAATTAAAGTTTTTGGTCTGAAATCGGGTCAGGATTTGGAGAACCGGGCGGCACACTCCCACCAAGAATTCCCAGGAGTACCCCCCCGAGATCTGGTGTTATTTAGTACTGGAATGCTGCAAGGTATATATATTAATCAGATCTTCAAACGTAACATTGAATCGAACAATGTGAGCGCAGTGAGCTTACTTGGTAATATCAACTATCGTTTTTAAATTCGACATAACACCTCACGTTTGCTTATGAACTGCGTCTGTTTCTCGTATATATTTAGACGTTTAATTGACTCGACTTACCGGTATGATTCAGGTCATTCAGTAAATCGGTTCAAAACTGGATTCCTTGAAATTTTGTTAAAAAAAGAAAAAAAAAATGCTCACGTTCCTTCAGTTCCTTGTAAAGCTTACTCAGAGCGAATCTTCTTTCACCCTTCCAGTTATTGATAGCACAATGATTTGTACTCCTGGTCTGGAATGACGTCTTTGATAATTCTATCTTAATGATTTGGTGTTTTATAAACTCTTATACTGTACACTCGTAGAGGTGTCAATAATCAATTGGACGATCGGGCATCTATTTGAATTTACGGGGTCCAAGGGGGGCGTTTAATAGTAGCAGGCGTTTAAAAGACCGTAGGCGTTTATAACTGTAGCAAGCTTAACAAAACTAACACGCTTTCGGCCAAAATAGCAAGAGAGTTTATAAATAACAGTGACTATCCTGTCCTTGAATGACCTTGCAGTGATACGTCCGTTTAGAGATTCATATCGTTCTTTCAAATCGTGACTTCGATATCAGAATACTTCAGGGTCATTGAATTGAACGTTGTAACAGGTTATCTCTCTAAAGTATTAGGTTTCCCGCCAACTTGATCGATCGTGTGTAATACACGCGTTTGACGACATGATGCGTGGACGATCTAGTTTGCAGTGCCTCTCTTTGCACTGGCCTTTGAAACACACTTGTTGTTTTTAGGGCCAGGTAATCTATGCTTTCGTTTGATATTGAAACATTTCGTTCTGAGAGCTTCGTGGCGCGACTCAAAAAACTGCTCTTCGCTCGCTCGCTCACGCAATATAGCTTGCGTGGTAAGAACAGAAAGGGGAGGGACAGGGGGAGGGGAGAAAGGGAATACATAATCATCCTCCAAGGTGCTAGCCCATGCCAGGCTCTCAGATAGTATAGTGCAGACGTATTAAAACGAGCAAAGCGAAAATAAGACGCGCGCGACTTGCGCGTTTTTCGTATTTCTTTCTACTGAACGACTTTTCACCACTGTATCGGAGCCTGGAACAGGCTAGCAAGGTGCTAGCCGTTTTTCTAGTGCTCGTTTTTCATCCCTCCCCACAAATAAATGTTGGGAGGGATGACAAACGAGGTCCTCTAAAAACGCCTGCGTGGGAGGCCACCAAGGCGGCCCGCAAATTACCTTCATCTATGGTTTTTGAGCGATATATTGAAATAGCTTTACCAGACCAAAGAGCTTTGAAAGGTCCACCGAACGTGCTCAAGTTTTAGTCAACTTCCTTTCTATCTGTTCGTAGCCGCTATAGCAAGCCACTTTTAAACAGTTTTCTTCAGTGCTCTTGAATAGTAACATTTTGCTATTGTGATAAACTATTAACGCAATCCTCTTTGTGAGTGTTTTTGATATCGGTATCGTTTTGTTTCCATAATGTATGCTAAATTCTAATACTTTGGCCCTGTCAACACGAAACGTAACACCCGTCCTCATGAAAACGCGCGCCAATACAACGACACCCTTCACAGCGCATGCGTAACGCTATTAGTATATGATGTAATTAAATGATGTTAGACATCATGATATTCAAAAACCTCCGTTTTCGCCCGTCCACACGCCGCAAAGGTAAAAAGCCGGGGTTTTAAAAAATCTCCACTCTAGGGACCGTTTTGAATACCTTCTCTTTTGGTGCTCGAAAACGCCATTTACGTGTGGACAGAACGCTACAACGGCTAAAACATCTCCATTTTAAAAAATATCCGTATACGTATGGATGGGACCTTTATTTTCCTTCTCTGTGCATTGATTATCAATGCATAAGACAGAGTCATGATCGTATACTCACGTGTGTGTCGGCGCTTATCTCAGTCTAAGTTAAGGTACTCCGCCCTATACGTGGGCGATCTAAATCTGCAAGCGTTCCTATGTTTTTGCGGGTCTCATGACTGAACTGTCTAATGACCACTATTCTAATCGCCCGCAATTTCCCATACAACATGATAAGTTAGCAAACTTGATCAGTTTGTAAGCATTTTTAAAGCCCTGAAGTATGAACTATCGTTAAGAAGAGTTGCTTGTCTTTGAAAGATCATGTGCAAAAAAAGTTTATTGAGTGACATTCTCGGATAAAAAGCAGCTTTGGACTTAATCAGCCGACACTATTATGGCTTTATATGGTAAAAATACCAAGCAGGATAAGGTCAAGTGGAAAAATCGCTGTACGTGGTTTATGGGTACCGCAAACAAAAATGATCTAATGAATAACTTCTTACATGATATTGTCATCTGAGTATGTAAGGGAAAGTACCTTCAGTCATCAATAAACTCGGTATCTACCTTTTGAATCTGGCCTTGACCTTCGTTTAGCTTAGAAAACCCGTTGTATTTCCTGAAAGTGGGAATCGTTTGAGGAGCACAGAAAGTCGTACTCAATGTCTGCTAGATTGGGAGTGAACTGAAAGGGTTGATGGTTAAAAAAAAGACAAGAACGCGCGAGCATGAATTGATCAAACCTTTTAAGGCTTACTTTCCGGCTAATAAAATGAACATGTAAAAAGTGAAAGAGAAATAGCGAAAATTTCCAACTTCTACTCAAATCTTTTCTTAAGGTTTAGAATAAAAATAAATATTCTTGAAACTGAGAATGTTTTGATCACAGCTCAGTTTGTAAATCGAACTGAATCAGTGGATGGAACCTTGCGTTTCCTGTTTTTATCTCACCTATTGTATGGAATATGTATGAAAATCTTCATTGTGAATCGTTATATTTGAAAGAGATATTTAATTAACGACTAAAAATACCATTGACCGACAATATACTGAGCGGAGGCAGCTGTTACTAGAATACGAGAGTGTTTGATCAGTGTTGTGAGTAAATGATGTGTCGAAAGTTTGATATTACTTCCCAACAAAATCATTTTAGTCGGAGAAATTTAAGATGAAAAAATGAGGACTTTTTTCATTTGATTTCACTCATTAAGCATTAATCCGTTGAATTTTTTTTGTGATTTATCAAAGAGCTTGAGTGGTCCATGACTTCTCTTCTATTTGTCGTTTGGCCACTTTATAAAGAGCACTCATGTATTCGTGATGTTTAGTAAAACCAGGCCATCCACCTCCGACTACTACCAACACTCCACAATTACGTAGTAACACGAAATTGTGGTAGTTGGGTCAGTCGTACTTAGACGCGTTGAACTTAT